TGTCTCATTTGCAGAAGATTACTTCGCAGACTTTATGACTTTTTTAGAAGAGCAATAACATCATGAAAAGCGGTGGACATGAATTTCAAATTATTTTCGTTTTTAATGTCTGTAAATACAACAAACAAAATTACAGATTACTACTAAATAATGGCTATTTTCTTACTTGTTATATAGCTTCTACCTTTTGTCTGCTGGGTTGTGTTAAATTATTCGTTTACACTCTTGATTTGTTGGCAGAACGATTGGACGCTTTTCTATAGTCATGTAGTGAGTGATAAAGATATTTTTTTTTAGAGTTTGTTTTCTAACATTTGACTTTGTGTTTGCTGGGTATACATCAATACACGCGAGTCATAATTAATTTAATATCAATTAAGTTAATTTCTTATCAATAAAATTACTCTCTAAATACGTTTAATTTTTTGTTAAACAGATTTTAAAAAATTGCTACAGACACTACTAAATGTAATTAATCAATACGATGCATAAGTGTGCCAAGTAAGCACTCTTAGCAGACAAAGAATATAATTAGAAGTATAGCGAGCATAGGATTTTGTTTCTATTTCCCAGAAATAAAATGATTTAAATAGACATGAGAAACCTATACACTTTAGAACAGGCATGGAAAATTAAAATCTATTGATTAATCTATCCAGTAGTTAATTGAATAGGCTATGGATTAGTCTATGGGCTTTTCTATTGACTGATCTAAGGATTAGTTTAAAGTCATGTCTATTAACTAGTATAATGATTAGCCTATTGACTAGTCTATATAACTAGTCTAAATATTAGACTATTGACTAGTCTATGAACTTGTCTATGGACTAGTCTATTATCTAGTCTAGTAACTAGTATATTAACTAGAATACTGACTAGTCTATTGATTACTCTGTAGACTAGTCTATTAACCAGTCTTATGCCTTTATTATTGAATAGTCTGTTGACTCGTAGACCAGTCTATCGTTTTATCTATTGACGAGTTTATATACTATACTATTGTCTAGTCAGTAGACTAGTTTTGTCTGAATGATAATTGTTTTGCTCATCTTGTGTTTAATACCTTTTGTTCTTTGTCATAACTTTTATTTTGTTGATTTGCCATTCGACTCATCTCCGTTTATATCCCATAAAGAAACGTTCGTCTTCTTCGTGGATTTGTCAATCATAGCGCTTTAATCCCTTATCAATTGCTCTTAAGGTTTGGTTTTCTAGAAAAATCAACTTAATTAAGTTAAATTTAACTTTTGTTTAACATTATTTTAAGTTAACGACATCATAAGTATGTATTTTCAAAAACAGGTTTTGAACTATGCTTTTCATTTCTGCTACATTTTTTAAAATAATTTGAAAAAGCATTGTATACTTTTGGGCCTATGGAATAATAGAGATTTTTACTGTGACTGGCCAGACTTGGCTGCGGACCACGCGAATTTTATCATCGACAGCTAACGGTATTTCTGTGTTTAATATGGGTGATGGGTGATCATAAAATATGCTTATTTTTCAATTTAAACGTGTTTTAACAAAGTTATAAGCGATTTAATATTTTGACAAAAACATCGATTTTTGAAGGAAAATATGGATGATCACAAAATAAGCTTAATTTTCAATTTAAACGTGTTTTAACAAAGTTATAAGCGATTTAAGATTTTCGACCAAAAAAAAAACATTTTTGAAGGAAAATATGGGTGATCACAAAATAAGCTTATTTTTCAATTTAAGCGTGTTTTAACAAAGTTATAAGCTATTTAAGATTTTCGACCAAAAAATCGATTTTTGAAGGAAAATATGGGTGATCACAAAAGAACCTTATTTTTTAATTTAAACGTGTTTTAACGAAGTTATAAGCGATTTCAGATTTCGAACAAAAAAATCTATTTTTGAAGGAAAATATGGGTGATCACAAAATAAGCTTATTTTTCAATTTAAACGTGTTTTAACAAAGTTTTAAGCTATTTTAAGTTTTCGACTAAAACAATCGATTTTTGAAGGAAAATATGGGTGATCACAAAATAAGCTTATTTTTTAATTTAAACGTGTTTTAACGAAGTTATAAGCGATTTAAGATTTTCGACCAAAAAAAAAACATTTTTGAAGGAAAATATGGGTGATCACAAAATAAGCTTATTTTTCAATTTAAACGTGTTTTAACAAAGTTATAAGCTATTTAAGATTTTCGACCAAAAAATCGATTTTTGAAGGAAAATATGGGTGATCACAAAAGAACCTTATTTTTTAATTTAAACGTGTTTTAACAAAGTTTTAAGCCATTTTAAGTTTTCGACTAAAACAATCGATTTTTGAAGGAAAATATGGGTGATCACAAAATATACTTATTTTTCAATTTAAACGTGTTTTAACAAAGTTATAATCGATTTAAGATTTTGACAAAAAAATCCATTTTTGAAGGAAAATATGGGTGATCACAAAATAACCTTATTTTTCAATTTAAACGAGTTTTAACAAAGTTTTAACTATTTTAAGTTTTCGACTAAAACAATCTATTTTTGAAGGAAAATATGGGTGATCACAAAATAAGCTTATTTTTCAATTTAAACGTGTTTTAACGAAGTTATAAGCGATTTAAGATTTTGACAAAAAAATCGATTTTTGAAGCAAAATATGGGTGATCACAAAATAAGCTTATTTTTGAATTTAAACGTGTTTTAACAAAGTTATAAGCGATTTAAGATTTTGACAAAAAAATCGATTTTTGAAGAAAAATATGGGTGATCACAAAATAAGCTTATTTTTATACCCACCATCAAAAAAGATGGGGGGTATATTGATTTTGTCATTCCGTTTGTAACACATAGAAATATTGGTCATAGACCCGCAAAAGTATATATATTCTGGGTCCTCATTAAATTCTAAGACGATCTAGCCATGTCTGTCCGTCCGTCTGTCTGTCTGTCTGTTGAAAGCACGATAGAGTCCGAATGGAAAGAGCTAGAGGGTTGAAATTTCACATAAATATTTCTTATAGGTAAGGTTTGTTTGGTATTGAAAATGGGCAATATCGGTCCACGTTTTCGGATAGCCCCCATACAAGTGGCCCTCGAAAAGCAGCTTTAACAGCCATAACTTGCTTAAAAATACGAATATAGCGATGAAATTCGACATAAGTAAGTTTCTTATGATCCAAAATCAATATGCGAAATTTTATGAGGATCGGTCCATAATTGACCCTACCCCCCATATAAGGTCCCCTTCAGAAAATGACTTTAACGCTCATTACTGGCTTAAAAATACTAGTATATAGATGAAATTCGACATAAGTAAGTTTCATACGAGTCAACATCTATCTAAAAAATTTTTATCGGTCCATGATTGACCCTACCCCCCTATATAAGATTCCCTCCAGAAAATGACTGCAACGCTCATTAATGGTTTAAAAATACGAGTGTAGCGATGAAATTCGACACAAATAAATTTAATACGAACCAAATTCTATCTACCAAATTTTATCAGGATCGACCCATAATTGACCCTAACCCCCCCCCCCCCCCCCCCCCCTATATATGGTCCCCTTCAGAAAATTACTTTAACGCTTATAACTGGGCTAAATATACGAGTATATAGATGAAATTCGACATAAGTAAGTTTCATTCGAGTCAAACGAGGATTGATGGTGGGTATATAAGATTCGGCATAGCCGAATATAACACTCTTACTTGTTCAATTTAAACGTGTTTTAACAAAGTTATAAGCGATTTAAGATTTTCCACCAAAAAAATCGATTTTTGAAGGAAAATATGGGTGATCACAAAATAAGCTTATTTTTCAATTTAAACGTGTTTTAACGAAGTTATAAGCGATTTAAGATTTTCGACCAAAAAATCGATTTTTGAAGGAAAATATGGGTGATTACAAAATAAGCTTATTTTTCAATTTAAACGTGTTTTAACAAAGTTATAAGCGATTTAAGATTTTCGACCAAAAAATCGATTTTGGAAGGAAAATATGGATGATCACAAAATAAGCTTATTTTTCAATTTAAACGTGTTTTAACAAAGTTATAAGCTATTTAAGATTTTGACAAAAAAAAATCGATTTTTGAAGGAAAATATGGGTGATCACAAAATAAGCTTATTTTTCAATTTAAACGTGTTTTAACGATGTTATAAGCGATTTAAGATTTTCGACCAAAAAAATCAATTTTTGAAGGAATTATGTGCCTATGCCGTTTTGACAACGTTTTTGCTTGAAGTTACAGTCGTGTTCTTTTAATCTTTTCAAGCTTTTAAAATTTATTACTTCTTGTACTTTGCAAGTACTTGGAAAATATTTCAATTTTGGAAGATAAATTTCATTTTTAATAAAAAATGTTCAATGAAAATTTAATAATAACAACGAATTTTCCAAGAATATAATTTTTGTGCGGTAAGAGCTTTGAATGCGTCAGTGAGAGAATAAAAAACAATTACAATGTTTTAACAAAGTTATAAGCGATTTAAGATTTTCGACCAAAAAATCGATTTTTGAAGGAAAATATGGGTGATCACAAAATAAGTTATAAGCGATTTAAGATTTTCGACCAAAAAAATCGATTTTTGAAGGATTTTTGATCACAAAATAAGCTTATTTTTAAATTTACACGTGTTTTAAAACAAAGTTATAAGCGATTTAAGATTTTCGACCAAAAAAATCGATTTTTGAAGGAATTATGGGCCTATGTCGTTGTGACAACGTTTTTTCTTGAAGTTACAATCGTGTTCTGTTTCATCATTTAATCTTTTCAAGCTTTTAAAATTTATTACTTCTTGTACTTTGCAAGTACTTGGAAAATATTTCAATTTTGGAAGATAAATTTCATTTTTAATAAAAAATGTTCAATGAAAATTTAATAATAACAACGAATTTTCCAAGAATATAATTTTGTGCAGTAAGAGCTTTGAATGCGTCAGTGAGAGAATAAAAAACAATTACAATGTTTTTTTATTAATTTCCTTTATTTTTATTTCTATAAATATATAGTATACATTTATAATTAATTCTTTTTTTTTTTTTCTTTTAATAAATTCAATTTTGAATATTATTTCTTTACATACATAAACGTATATATTATAGTATATTATTATATCCACTTATTTGCATAATTTTTTCACAATATATAATAATATCAATTTAAAAATTTTTAGTGCAAAATATCTAAATATACATACATTTATTATGTTATTATTTTGTTTATGTTGAAATTTGTTTGTTTGCATTTTCAAATAATATTTCTTAAAAAAAATATATCAAAAATGTGGAGAAAATATTATACATATTAAAAAAGAAAAACAACTTAAAATTAGTAAGGATTTTTGAGAAACTATAAAAATATAAAAAAAATCAACTAAAAGTAATCACAAAACGATATTAAATTTAAATTATTTGGTAGATTATAAAAAAAAACTTAAAATTATTAAACGTATAGTAGATTTTGTTTGTTTGTTTGGTGGTTAGATTGTTTAAGGAATGTGTAGTGTTTGTTAAAGTTTATATACCAAGAAATCGGTATATATTATAATGAAAATATAAATTCATTTATTAAATCTAACACCGATGAGTTGTCGTTTAAGTTGTAAACAAAAATTGGACCTACATGAAATACAACCTAAACAAGAACACATCAGAGTAGTTAATAAATTAAACGAAAAGTTTAGATAGTAAGGAAGTTAGACTACTAAACTAGGGTAAGATATACATAGATAGATATTTGTGTTTAAGTGCCAAAAACAAAAATTAGAAATGAACATTTAATGTGCATTTTGTTTATGTTTTTGTTTGCTTGCGATTTTAACGAACGATTCCTTTAACAATATTTTATATAATTATACATAGGTGATGTTGTTTTGTTTATGTTTTAGTTTGTGTTAACAATTTGCAAATTACCCATAATTATTATGTGTGGTAATGCAAATATTCTAAAATTTGGTTTATGCCTTAAATGAAAGATAAAATGAACGTATGAATAAAATGTGCGTTTTGTTTGCTAAATGATGAACAACTAACGTTAAGTTTGAGGTTGTAGAAAAAATTTCCTATAAAGAAATTTTCCCAATTTTGTTGGCTTTGTTTTTGTTGATTTAGATTTAATTGATAATATTATTCAATATGCTTTCAATCTTTTGCAATGATTTCTCTTCCACCAAGAAGGTACGGTGATTGCCTTCAACGGTCAAAACATTCACAGATTTCTGGCAGACCTAAAAAGGAGGAAAGATGAAAAGCAATAAGTAATGGCTCACACTTGTTATGGGCATATAGCAAATAGATATTTACCTCATTAAGACCATAGTCTTCTTCTAATTTGGCATAGTTTTCAGTGGGTTTGACTAGAGTAACATCACACGATACTTTGGTGGAGGGCACGTATTTGTCGGCGGCATACAATTTCTTGTAGAACGATGTAGCTGCTTGTACAATCTGTAATAAATAAATAAATAATAATTATTATCATGAAATTTTTAATTTACAAAATATTTTCATAGAAATTTAAAGTTTTCTTACAAAAAAAAAAAACTTACCAAATCTGTGGGCTGGTTAATTTCGGCTGCAACAATTTCTGCACATTTAGCTACCTTGCTTTCCCATGTGGGAATGTTCAACAACACCTTGGCGACCAAACTGTAATCAATGTTGGCTACAACCATGCCGAAGTAGGCCAAACCATAAGCTTCATTTTGATCATCGGAAGTATTCAAACGTTGCTTGAAGTTGGTGGTATACCAGTTGACATATTTGGGAGCACCGTCCAACATAACAAGTTGGGCATTTTCCTTCATCTTCTCCAAATGCAAAACAATAACAAAGGCCACTAAAGCACCGAAGGAGTAACCAGCAATAGCATAGGGACCCTTAGGTTGGACAGTGCGGATTTGTTTCAAGTAGAAATCGGCCAAGGTATCGATGGATTCAAGATTGGCTTCAGCAGTGCATTGCAGACCATAGACAGGACAGTCCAAACGGGAGGCCAATTGCTTGAGAGCATCGGCAAAACCTTCAATGGGAGAAACCACGAAGAAGGGACGTTTCTTAGAGTCGGCAGGAGCAGCTGATTGTAGACGTACAATGGGTTGAGTGGGCATAAGTTCTGTGGTGAATACCACTTGAGTACCATCACCAAATGGACTTGGGCTAGGTGTTCTGTGTACAGGAGATGCAGGTGAAGCTGCAGCATCACTGCCTTCTCCACCGCTTAGTTGTTTCAATTGACCGAAAGTCAATTGTCTGATTTCTGCGGGGGCCATTACAATGTCAAAGTTACGCTCAAGTGTTTGTTTGATTTCAGCGCCCATCAAAGAGTCCATACCCAAATCGGCCAAAGAAGCAGAATCTTGTACGTTCTTGGTGTCTCTTAAGCCCAAAATGTTGGCAACACAGGCAATTAAACTAACACCACCGGATTGGTCGGATTTACGTTTCTCGGCTACCACCATGGAGGCCAAGACAGGGTGTGGTTGTTGCAGGAAGAAATCAATAGTTTGTAGGCATGAGGACATTCTTTGTGGCAAAGTTCCACCAATAACTGTGTCATTGTCACCAAGATTTTCAATAACCAAGCCAGTGTCACCAATAGCACCCCATTGTATGGCCAAACCAGGGAATCCGCTGGCTTGTCTCAACTCACAGATACGTTCCATGGCGGAGTTGGCGAGACCATAGTTAGTTTGACCAATGTTACCACGACCGCAGGACACACTGGAGAAGCAAACAAAGTAATCGAGTTCGGAGCACATGTTTCTGGAGTATTGATCCAAGTATTTGGTACCTTGTACCTTTGATTCGCAAACAGTTTCAAAGTCCTTAACAGTTTGATCTTCGAGCAAGGCATCTCTGAGTACAGCAGCCAAATTGAAGATACCACCAACTAAAGCCAAATTGTTGGCATTCTCTAGCAATTGTTGGCAACCCTTGGCGCTGGTAACATCGCTAGTGTCAACCAAAACCTTGACACCTCTATCTTGCCATCTTCTGATCATAAGGGATTGATAACCAGTCTTAACGCCGGATCTGGAGGTGAGTACTAGATATTTGGCACCTCTGGAAACCAACCAGTTGGTCAGCTCAAGACCAAAACCGCCCAAACCACCAACGATGATGTAGCTCTTTTCGGGGTGCATGTAGGTACGGGGTATAGCATTAACCAAACGAGCTGTAGGTTTGACAGTTTTACGACCATCCTCTTCATCTCTGACTTTAACGACAACCTTGCCGATGTGTTTGCCGGAAGCCATGAAACGGAAGGCGGATTCAACTTGGTGTTCGTTGAAAACTGAAGTGGGCAAAGGTCTGACGGCACCAGATTTAATACCCTCAGCTACTAAGGAGACAACTTGGTTCTGCATGGCTTCTTCACCTTCCATGACACTGTCCAGGAGAATACCATGGAATGAGGTGTTCTTGAGGAACACGGACATGCCCAAAGGTGAGTTGTTGCTCAAATCGAATTTACCGATTTCCAAGAATCGGCCATTCAAGCCCAAACAGCGTACGGAAGCTTGAAGTTTTTCTTCAGCCAAGGAGTTCAAGACTAAATCTACACCACGTCCTTGTGTCTCACGCATAATCATTTGTTCGAAGGAACAGTCACGAGAGTTGCCAATATGGCTGTCCTTAAGTTGAGGGAAACGTTTCTTCAAGAATTCTCTCTTTTCCTTGCTGCCAACAGTGGTGAAGACAGTCAAACCATGATGTAAAGCAATGGAAATGGCAGATTGGCCAACACCACCAGAGCCGGCGTGAATCAAGATCTTTTCACCCTTCTTCATTTGACCGCGCACCACCAAAGCGTAGTAGACGGTGGCATAAACACAGGGTACAGTAGAGGCTTCTTCCATGGTCCAGTGGTCGGGAATCTCCCACATCATGTTCTTGGAGGCAACACATGTGGTAGCCATTGATTTGGCGGGTACCATAGCCATAATTCTGCGACCCTTAGAATCGCGACCAGCAAACTCCAAACCTAATACGCAGTCCTGTTGGGCCAGATCACCGGGCAAAGCATCAGCTGAAAGTTTGCCAGAGGACAACATGACGTCACGGAAGTTAATGGGAGCATAGTAAACAGTGCACAATTCTGAATTATCATCCAACAAAGAGGTGTTCATTTGAGGAGCTTCAATCCATTTCAAGGAAGCAAGATCACCCTTGGTTAAGGCATTGACATAAGCATGCTCAACTTGCAAAGTGGCCACATCAGTCTCCAATTTCAAGTGACGGAATGTGCCCCAAGTGGAGTTCTTCAAAACGTTGTTAATAAGATCCTTGGACAATTGTTCGGCATAGAATTTGCTGGTGAGCGAGAACTTTTCAGCGTTCTTATCTTGAATAAAGACCATGCGGGCCAATTTTCCACCATTTTCATTCTTAATGCAGTTCATGAAACCAACAGCACCGAATAGTTCTTCTCCTTGGCACACAACATAGACGTAACGTTCAATTTCGGCGGCCTTAGCCAAGGCTTCTTTAAGGTCATCTAACCAGTTGAAGTTGGTTTCGGTGACTTGTACGACGACAGCTTCTCTTTGTTTCAAGTCGACGGGTTTACGAGCCATAACTAAAACTCTGGAGCCTCCAATGACTTGTTCAGTTACAACGGTCAAACCAGATTTCTTTAATAATTCACGGCCAGACTTGTCGTATGATGTTGTAGATTCTTCAAAGATAAGGAAGCCGTTATCTTTAATGGTGGCTTTACTGTTCTCCAAAATCATGGTATCAGGTCTCGACAAAACATCCAAAGCATAAAGGAAATGACAGTTCTGCTCTACCGGTTCTTGAAGAATATTTTTGGATATAATGCGTACACCAGATTCGGCACCTAGAGCTGAGGCAATAGTCTCCTCGTTGTTGTTATAGGTGGCTACAGCGACATCGGCGGTGATAGTGGGTTCTCCCTCAATAATTTGTAACAATTTAGCGGCCAATAAGACATCGGGGTTGCGGCCATTAGCCAATTCTACACCCTTGATTTTAATGGCACCCTGAGAGTTTTCAATGAGTGTGTGAAGAGCCACAGTCAAGGCTTGCAAGCGGGATTTCTCAGAGTTTTCGTGCAATTCAGCGTGGTTAACATTGGGCACGAAGGTGTAACGTTCCAAAGTGGGTGGATTTTGGGTTCCAGGTCTCTTGGAAGCCAAAGAGGCCTTCAAACCTCTCATTTCAACACCAGCACTCTTGATGACATTGATATCGCCATACATATACACGGGCACACCATTCTGAGTTAAGAATTCTTCGGATAGTTTGGACATCTCTTCCAAATGCTTGGCTGGATTAAGGACGGCCTTTTCAATACGAGTAGGCAAGTATAATTCTCTCAAGTTCTTGCTCAAGATGCTGAATTGTAGCATGGTATCCATGAAACTGATCCAGTTGCCAACCCATTGCAATTGACCAGCATTGGCAACAGTATCGGATTTAACAATACCTCTGAAAATGCCAGAGTAATCATAGCCACGAAGTCTCAACTCCTTGTACACATCGTTAGTGTTCAATTCTTTGCCCAAAGTGCTGGCTGGCAAAGCATCCAAAGGCAATTCTTCTCTCTCAATATCATCGGGAATGGAAATCTTACCGGAAACAGCTAAACTGCCACCCTCGCAGATTTCAAAGTTGCCAGTGCCATCGAAGAAGTTCAGGCCGAATTTGACCACACCTTCCTTGTTAAGAATGGTAGCTCTGTGGAATACGACATTCTCCATAACGACGGGGCACTTTTGATATTCCATACCCTTCATCTTGGCGAAGGTCATCCAGGCCAAAGTCATGTAACCAGTAGCAGGGAACAAAATTCTACCATCAATGGTGTGACCAGCCAAGAAAGCGTCCTCTTCTTTGCCCAAATTGATTTCGATGACGGTTTCACCAGAAGTTGTTTCTTTGCCGTATTTGGGAACAATCCATTTTTGCGAATGATCCCAGCCAACCTTGGAGTTCAACATAGGTGTACCACGACCAACAGGATAAGTAATGGGTTTGAACAAAGTCAAAACTTGAGGTTGAGCACCAGCAGCATAGATTTTACCAATGTTCATCAACAAGAATTCAACATTGTTCTCATGACCACGTTTCACCAAGCTGACATTGGTGGCATCGGGGCCCAAAGCTCTCTTGAGAATGGCTTGCAATAAACCAGTGGGAGCAATTTCAACAGCAATAGCATTCTTGGGAATATGTTGCAAAGCCTCGTGGAACAAAACAGGCGAAAGTAAGTTGTTCACATGATAAGCAGCCGATGATTGTTTAGCTACGGGGGTATTCCAGGCAGATTCGGGAATACTGGTACTAATCCATCTGCTAGTACGGTTCTTGGCATTGGGAATGATTTTCTCCAAGCTCTTGCGCAATTTTGGTCCGGCATCAGCAATGTATTTGCTGTGGAAAGCATAACCGGATGATTTGACGGCCTTAGCAAAGATACCTTCAGAGGAGAGTTGGGCTACCAAAGCGTCAATCGAGGCATCAGGACCAGAAATGGTGCAGTTATCACCACTGTTGTGGCAGACGGGGAAACAATCGGCAGGCATACGTTTGTGGGCTTCTTCCCAGTCCAAACCAATAGCAGCCATTTTGCCGCTGGGCAATTTAGTATCTTGAATGCTTTTACCTCTCCAGTAAGCAGCCAAAACAGTCTGTTCTGGAGTAAAGCAGCCATCGGCATAAGCACAACCCAATTCACCTACGGAGTGACCAACAATGCCATCAGGCTTGATGTTGAGAGAAGCAAGCAAATCGGTTAAAGCAACCTGCATGGCAGCAATCGAAATGAAAGAGTTCAAAATGTTATCGAAACTTTGTTCAGTTGATCTGGTCAAAACATCGACCAAGTCAATGCCTTCTGGTCTTAAAGCTTCAGCGCAGCGATGAACAGAATTGGCAAAAACTTCGAATTGCATAAGATCCTTAGCCATACTGGCCCATTGACTGCCCATACCGGAGTAAATGTACCAAATGGGGCGGTTTTCATCATTGAACTCCACAACCTCACGTTGCAAGGAACCCTTGGTGTCCATGACGCAATAACCACGGTAGTAGTGGAGAGGAATGTTCTTGGAGTGGATGTCGTTGATCAAAGCCAAGTATTCATCGTCATCTCTGTGGGCAGTAGCATCTTCCAAAAGCTCTTGAACAGCATCAAAAGTGCGACCGGAGCAAACGACCATCTTTGGAGGTCCAACAGTGGGAGTAATGGCCTTGGGTTTGGGATTGGATTTTAAGATAACATGGGCATTGGCACCGCCAAAACCGAACGAGTTGATACCAACAATACCGCCTTCCCAGGGAAGATTTTTGTCAACTACCTTCAAACGGCCATCCATTAAACCGTATAGATCAGGATTGGGGTTTTTGTAATGTAAATTGGCTGGAATAACACCTTCTTCCATGGCAATCAATACCTTGGCAATGGAGCAAACACCTGATGCGGGTTCAGAGTGACCCATGTTAGATTTTACTGAACCAATGAGCAAGGGAGTCTTACGGTTCTTGCAGAAGAAGTCGGTAATGGAGTTGACTTCTTGAGGGTCACCCACTTTGGTACCAGTACCGTGAGCTTCAACATAGACGACATCGTTGGGGTCCAAGTTGATTTCTTCATAGGTTTCTCTAATCAAACGATTTTGCATCTTACCATCGGGATAAGTGATACCCTGTTCTTTGTAACCATCAGTGTTGGTACGTACATTCAAGACGGTGGCATAAACACGTTTGGATTGACTGACCTTTTGCAAGAAGATGACCACACAGCCATCGGATCTTACATAGCCATTACCAGACTCATCGAAGGCTTTGCACATGCCATCAGGACTCAACATGTTAAGACGCTTGAATTGCAGAGACATGGTGGGTTTCAAAATAACACCCAAACCGGCAACGACAGCTGAATCACATTTGCCATCTCGCATATCAGAGAAGGCCTGTTCCAAGGCATACAAAGAACTGGAGCAAGCAGTGTCAACACTGTAACTGGGTCCTTTAAAGTCAAAAGTGTAGGAAACACGATTGGCGAACATAGCTCTGGCGCAACCAGTCAAACCATAACCATTGACACGATCTTGATCGGCAGTCCAGTATTGTTCGGTTTCCGAAGCCGAAACACCAACATACACACCAGTGCGGGAGCCTCTAATTTCAGAAGGATTTACACCGGAATCTATAATAGCCTCATAAGTACACTCCAATAACATTCTCATTTGGGGATCCATACATTCGGCTTGCTTTTGATGCACACTAAAGAATTGTTGATCGAAATGTTCCAAATCTTCATCCTTGATTTTACCAATACGATCGGGTAAACCGTACAAACCCTTTTCCCATCTTCTGGGATCATCATTTACCATATCGACACCTTCGAACAGATTCTTCTTGAACTCTTCGATGTTGGAACTTTCGGGCAAACGGCCAGAGAAACCAGTAATAGCAACATCACTGGTTGTCATGGCACCGCTTGAACGAGCACCGAAACGTCCCTGTAGGTCATGGGGAACATTACGGCCCTCGTTTTCATTTATAACACCATCAGCAAAACGGGCAGGCATATTGTTGATTTCTTGATTGTTAGTATGGGCGTTTGAATTTGCAATAGAATTAGAATTTATAGCGTTGATGAATGCGTTGTGGTTTGAGTTACTTTTTACAGTTTCCTTATTAACCACTACTATCTGATCAGTTTCGACGATATGTTCTTGTTGTTGCTGTTGTTGGGGGATATCTTGTTGCGTGGGCGTTGAATTGCGTTGCTGTTTATTACGTCTCTTTTTACGACGATTTGCTGATTTGCCTTTGTTAGCAGATTTTTGCAATGATGGCGATGATGATGAATTAACGTTATTTTGATTATTGACTGAATGTTGTTGCGTTTGGTGAACAGTTTGTAAAGAATGAATTTTATTCTCGGATTTCAACAGTTTGAAAGAAACCTGAAAGTTAAAGAAAATAAGGAATTATTAATTGAGATTTTAGTTTTAATTTATAGAGATATAAAGGGGGGCGATAAAGTGTGCGTGCGTGTGTTTTGTGATAATTATTGATTTTTTGTATTATTTTTAAACTAAATTGTTTGCTAATTAATTAAAAAAAGCTTTTATGTTAACTATTAAGGACTAACAGTTGTTTTGGGTTTTAAATATATTTTAGCATTGTTAAATGGGTTAATGTAAAAGCTTTTTGCTCTTTTATTGTTTTGCCAAGAATTTAAGAGAGTATTTTTATTGCTAAAAAAACTCTTAGTTAGCAAATTTTTAGTTCATTTTGTTTTGTTTCTGTTTGCTACTACTATTTTGAAACCGTTGTTATGTTTTGTCTCTATTGTTTTTGTTTATTTTTCTTTTCTGTGCTTTTTTGTTTTGTTTGAAGTAGTTGGAATTGAAACGTTAGTATACATTGTGAAAATCAGGTGATTTTTGGGCTAACTTCAATGTTATGGCTTTCTTTATATCTTTGTATACATACATTTGTATGCATGTAAAAGTATGTATATTTGTACATACATTAATATGTAGATATGAACGAGTGCGGACGGATATTATGTTGTAGTTGTAATACTATTGTATTGTTGTAGGTTTAGTATTGTAGTTGATGATGTAGTGGCAAATTTGTATGGCATGATTTTTAGTTTGTAAATGATGCCGGTACAATTTGTTTTTGCAAAATAATTTGTGCAGAAAAAAAAATAATGAGATAAAGTGGGCGTTAAGTCATATACGACTTAAAAGTACTCTACAATATCCTTGTTTCTGCATTATTTTTAGTTTACATTTAAAGCTGTCTTCTTCTTTTTTATAAAACATCCATAGTTTTGATAACAAATAGGTAGTTTTTTCTGTTTTATTAGAATATTAACTAATCTGACTATGAATTAGTGTTCTTCAGCACAAAAATCTGTCCTAAAAGAATCAAACTAATATTTTTTGAATAATAAAATAAACAAATAGGTACATATATTTATATACATATATTTAGTATCTACACGTCGTTCTTAAAAAATAAGTTAATACGAAATATTTAACTTACAACTTATTATTCATATTCTTACTTCATCTTGACTTGAGTTAAATTGTTGTTAAGAAAATTTTATGGAAAATTTATTAAATTTAATACAGTCATAGATACGTTATCAAGGAAAAAAACAACTACATATTTTTTAAACAAATTATATTTTTTGTGATAAGTAGTGATAGTATATTTGAATATTATTTCCTTAGAAAAAACTTTAAATTTACTAATCAGATTTATAAACAATTTTAACATCTATGTGTTACCAATTGCTCATACTATATAATTATATAGAGACACACACTTATGATTCTATATTTATACAGTTATTGTTTTTTTTTTTTTTTTTTTTGTAAATTTCTCTTGCAAAAAAATCCAAAACACAAATCAAAATAGTGAGAGATAAGGTGGCGTGATTATTAAATATTTTCAAGTTCAATGTGAGTTAAATGGAAAAGAAACCCCTCGTATGATTAATAAATACCCATACAAATACATACAAAACGATAATAATAATAATAATAATAAAAATGGTGATGACACCTCTTGATCAAACAGTTATTTATGCCCAAGTGATAATCAATATTAATGTAAACATTATGAAAAGAGAAGAGTTGTTTAGAAAGAGAGAAAGTTAAAAGAGAGTTTTTTATGAATTTATTATTGCTGTGTAGGTATAATTTGTTTATAATTTCATTAATTTTTTTAAACTTTTTACAGCGTTTTAATTAAAATTTTTATTAATTTATTACTTTCAAATGCTTTAATAAAAATTCAAATTCTTTTATATTAATTTATATTGCTAAACACGCAAATTAATTAAGTTTATTTTTAAATGTAAATATTTTATTTAATAATAATGTAAAATGTATATAGGATCAGGAAGGGCAAATTTTTATTTATAAAGTTAGACACTAATAATTCTAAAATTTTTTTAACAATATCTTCAAAAAAAAAAAAAAAAAAAAAAAATACATTGTTAAATTATTAGAAATTAAATTTTGTAAAGAATTTTTGCGAAATAATGCTGATCAAGAGAATTTGGGAATTTTTAAAGAAATTTTGGGAAATCATATTTTCGGTCTTAGATTTTAATTTACATATATCTCAAATATTTATTTTCCAAGACGGAAAATATTTGTTTAAATTAATGAGTTAAATTTAATTAAAATTTTCAAATTCTACTTTATTTTCTAGCCACGGTTTTGAAAGTACATATGTTAAAACAAAAGCAAAATAAATAAATATACTTTTTATCAAATTACCCGAGGGGCAAACACGTTTAGAATTTTTTCTTTTTGGTTTTTTTTTTGCCGGCATATCAGGCGATATTAATATTACGTCATGATAAGCAAAAAAACACAACAAAAAATTTATAAAAAAGAATTTTTAATAAATAAAAAAAATATCTTTCGTTTTATACAACGTGAATGAATATATTAAAGGAATTACCAAGCGGCATTAAAGACCTAAACAAGTCAACTACAATATTAATGCACATACAAAACAAAAACAGAAAAGGAAAATTTATTCCCAATAAAATAAATGTTTATTAATTTTTATTAGAATAACAAAATGACGCATAACATTTTAACATGAAGTTCAAATGTATGGCATTAATTAATTCAAAATTTTAAATTCAGGCAACAAAAATAAAAAATATAAAAAGTATACAATACAAAATGACAAGTGAATGTCTGGCGGATTGATTTACATAAATTAATTAAACTTTAACATTAGAAATTACAAAGAAAAAAAAAAAACAAAAAAACAAGTAAAAGAAAGCAAATTAAATAATATTGTACTAAATTAGGAATAACATTAAACAAAATCTTGTATTTATCTTGTCAAATAGACAAAAATGTTTAAAATAAACGAGACCAGGCCAGTGTAGTGTACATACGTTTGGAGCGTGATTGACACAAATCGTACGATCGCACAAATTATATGTATGCAAACTTTTGTTTGCGGTTACTCTACATATTTATTACTATATACATACATATATATATATGGTTGGATGTACATACAGATGTATATGCTAGCACATGTTTTTTCTTGTTATTTTTTTTCTCACATTTCTTTCTAAATAAAAATGTTTTGTTTATTTTCGAGAGTTCAAGTTTAAAAAGAGAAGTAATACTAATGTAGAGAGCGTAATATTTTTGCAAACTAGAAAAGATCGTATGATTTTTCAAAATATAAAAGAAAAAAACTTAAATCTGATGAGGTGATAGTATTCTAAAGCAAATACAGAGGTATACAAATTGTGGGCGATTTGTTGCTTTTTTAATAGAGAAATTTTGTAAAAATTCTAACAATATTGGTTAGCAACCATGTATAAATGTTATTAGCCACGCGATATAGGGAATGGGGGGTGTAGATTGGCCTTTGAAGCAAATTGACTAGAATATAAAGTCAAGAGGATCGGTTGGTAGCAAAAAGTAAAAAAAAAAATAATTATTTTGGAGGGATTATAACCGCTGCTTTAATATTTATGAACTTTTCTTATACATAATGAAGAAAATGGTCTGTAAACAAATCATACTACATATTTATTACAAAATTCATTACAGTTATGAATTATTTTTTTCTGTGTGTTCTAAAGTTTTCCTACAAAGGTTTAAAATTTCTCTGTAAATCATAACAAATTCATTCGTCATTTCTAAGTTGTTTACAGTTTGCATAAACTATTTAAATTTTTATGGCCAAAATGTTATTATTTTTAAAATTTCTTTTCCACTCTTTCTTTTATACCTAATTTTCGTTAGTTTTATTTTATCATCTTCGTAAACTATTTAAAGTTTAAAACAAAACAAAAAACAAAAGTTCAATGGCTTTATAGCTTCGCTTATTTTCAGTTAGTTTTATAAAAAATTTAAAAGTAAAATATTTTGAAATACTTTTTTTTGCAATTTCTCTTTTAAATAAGCATCACCATTTAAAATCACGCCACCTTTAATATAATAGCTAGTATTTTTGAAGTTTTGAATATTGATTAATACGTAGTTATTCGAATAAGTAGTGGTTATAGTGAAATTGTTGTATAATTGTCAAAAGATATCTATAAATTAATTAAAGAAATGTATAAGGCATCCTTTGGTGGTTAGCTTTTTCATTATTAATTAGTTTTATTTTTGATTCAAGAAGTCCTATAAATCGGAAAAAATCTATTAAAAAAAAAACAGAAATGCAATAAAGAAACCTTAAAAGTTTATGGTAATAAGAATATAATTGAAATTAGTTAGGGTTGCAAATAAAATGAAGAATGTAAGAAATATAAATGAAATACAATTAAAACCAATATTTTTTTTTCAAATTGGAACTCATTATCTTTAAGGGAAAAAGAAGACTTTCTGTGATATTTAAAGTTTTTTTATATTTAAAAACTATGAAGTATTTAATTTCTTTGTATTCTCTGTTAAAATCTTTATTAAATAAAATAATCTTTTAAATATTTTTCCACTAAAAATTTTGTAAAAAAAATACTGATAAGATTGAAATCATTAACAATTTATGTACAATTTTGACTTGATTTATGGTTGTTGTTATATTTTTATTATAATTATTTAAAAAAAAAAGGCATCGCAACGTGTAATGTTTATTAATTTTATATTTAAAAAAACGTATAATAACAGGTATAAATATTTATTAAAAATTTTTAACTTTGCTAAATTCCTTTATAATATTTCGCCTTTTTAAAAAGTTTTAAATAAAATAACACAAAAGTGGAAATTTCTAAAACAAAAACAAATAATTTTAAGAAATTTTAAAAGATTAGATAGATGTTATGTTTATAGAAGTCAATAAAACCTATTGTAGTGGAATTGTACGTTTCAATTATCTATCCATGCTGGGGGTCTATTAGCACACGAGTTTTTTTGAGTGTACTTTAAGTAAAATTTGAAATGATTAAGATTATTTATTAGTTATTTAATAAAAATTTTCTGATTAGGAAGTAGCAAAAAGTTTTTAATTTTAAATGTTTATATTTAAACAGGGTAATCAAAATAAGTAGATTTTATCAAAAATCTTCTATATTAGAAAAACTTTGAATTTTAAAGGATTTTTGAAAAGATTTTAAAGATATTTTTATTTAAAATTAGTTTTATGAAGTGCTAAATTTGAAATCATTTAGTTAAAAAGTAAAAATTATTTGAAAATATACCTATATAATTTGGATTCAAACATTATATTGAATTGTTTTGAAAGCAAAAATTGTAATAAAATTGACATAATGTCCTTAACATTTGTTTCAAACACTATTGTACTGTCATTCGCAAAATCATCATAATACTTTTTTCTAAAAAGGTACCTATTATGATAAAATTTCTTTAAAAATGTAAGTAAAGTTTTTCAAATTAAGGAGTCAAACTAATAAAAACTTTTTATTTTAATTTTTTTTTAAACTTGACCAAGTCTCAAATTTACAAAGAAAATAAGAAATCGATTTTTTCCTTTAATGAAATTTATATAGAAACCATGGTAAAAGACCTCCTCCCTCTTCTACTATTAGCCAAACAAAAAGACAAACCAAACGTTTCAATACCAACCACAATAAATTAGTTACAATTCTATTGATTAATCGAGAAAAAAAAAATACATTAAATTGTAATTGGAAAACGAATTTACTAGAAATTACAAGAAAGTTGACGTTATTGGTATTTATTTAAACGAAAAAGTTTGTTTTCTATATCAAACTTTTAAGAAAATTGTTCTAAAGGATCCTTAACAAATATTGACTTTTACCGGTCAATTTGCTAAAGTACACAATTTTAATTATTTGTATGTATAAGTTTTTCTTTTTTTTGCAAGGACACACCTAAATGTCATAATATATCAGATGTTTTACTCAAAGGAGCTACTCTAAGGCAAAACCATAAACATCCATCCATATACACGGAAGCTAAGGCACAAACACTTTCACACACACATATGTATACATACTATATAAAAAAATGAATACATACCTTAAAATCAGGCGACTTTTATAAAATTTCTTGTTGCTGTTGTTATTGGTTAACCAAGTCCTTTTAGGGCTTTTTTTGGGGGGTTGTTTAACTTTTTATTGTTGTAGTATTAAGCAGGAAAAAAACTAACTAAAGAGTGCTATACCGTAGGTCCAGTAAAGTAAAGCACAAGGTTCAGTTAGTTAATTTAACAATATAAACTTCCAACAAGATTTGTTCGTTTTTATGACGTGGGTTAAATTTCAAAATTTTATTGATTTTGAAATTTTCTTTGTTTTTTTAATTGAAATTTTTGTAATTTTCAGAGTTTGTTTTGTGATTTTATTTATTCACTTATTTTGGTTTTTCTTTTTAATTTCTTTTTTTGTTTTAACACTTTTATTTTGTTTTTAATTTTCTAGTAGCGGTTTTTTTCTCAAAAATTCCGTTACTTTTTTATTATGTTTATGTTAAATCATTCAAATATTAATAATTATTTTGTTGTACAAAATCCGTTTTTGTTTTATGGAAATTAATATTTTTTATAATAATAATAAATGTCCTCAAAGAACTTCAGCTTCAAAATATGAATAGCGATTTAGGAAATATTTTTAGTTAGATCCTCAGAATTTACTAAACGTCTATTCGTTTTGAACTGTCAATGAAGACTAATATAAAATTGCCACTGCTAGCGCTCATTTAACCCACTATAAAATTGGTCTGAAAATCTATTTGGAACAGAACATTGTGTCGTGTCACCACTACGCTAAACCAGAAGAAGAAGCAGCAGCAGAAGTAAAATACGAGAAAAGCTACAACACCAAAACAATTGTACACAACACACAACAACAAAAAAAAAACTGCAACAACAGATGATGTGATGATGTTTGAAATGAAAAGGAATTGTAGCAAAAGCAACAACAAAAACCGCCTCGATATTAAAAAAAACACACATCAGGCGACATGAAAGTTTATGTGTGCATGAGTATGTGTTTGTGCTTTTTTACACAAAAAAAGTTTTGTTGTTTTTAAACGAGACAAGTGGAATTGAAACGCACAGACACACGCCACAGAGAGCGTTAAAGAAAGTGTGTGGAAAAAAACTATGTAAAGAAGAGAACTCATAAAATCATGCAAAAAAAAAAAAAAAACATATGCAAAAATAATAACAATAATAAGAGAAAGAGAGAGAATAGGAAAGACGGCTTGTTGCCGTTACAAATTGTTTAAAATTATTTACAAATTACACAGAGACGTCGCATAATAGAAATATGAATATATTTTATCAACAAAAAAGTGTGACTTTTTTTGAAATAATAAAATAAAACAACAACTAGTATAAACTACTTATAACTAAATATGTGTGGATGGATACTTGTGTTAAAGTAATGGATACTTGTGTTAAAGTAATGGAAACTAAAATTTTTAAAAGAAAAAGACAAACATTTTGCAACGTTCTAAATAACTTTTATTCTTGAATTCTTTTACTGATTTTGATTTTTCTGTGTTTCCAAGACACTTATTCAATTATGTATATCAGGCAATCAAAAATCCTGTCAAGAAAAATACCTACATATGGGCAATTCCATACGATTGTATGTGACGTTCGTACACCTTCAGAGTGGTGTAGATTTGGTACAAATGGGAGTATTTGGAAAAACAATATTGACATTCTGCTCCATTCAGAGAATACTATGTTTGCAAAAGGAATCATCCCATATATATTTTGGAAATATATGCATACACACACCTCAACAAATATAAAGGAGTAGGAAAGTGCAGTCGGACATGACCGACCTACTATATACATGTTTAAGCAATTTATAGATAAAAATAAAAAACAGAAGTTATATGGCGACTAGGGTCAAATATGAACGAAATTTTGGGGTGGGATTTTTATTCATATAAAACTTATTTGTGCCAAATTTTATCATAATACTAGTGCTTATAAGTGAGTTATAAACGTTTAAGTGTTTTTCTGAAATTAAACTAGGAACTAGGGTCAAATGAGGTCCAATCGTTATAAAATCGGCATAATGGTTTAGGCTTATATACATTTTAGATCTGCCGATTTTGGAAGGGTATATTAAAGTATTATAATTAACAGAATTATGAGCTAAAAGTAGATATTTGCGGGTCCGTTTGTATGGGCGCGAGGTGTTAAAATAGACCGATTTAAAAAATTTTCAAAAGTCTTCGTCTTTGGTGCTACAAAAGATCATATACCAAATTTTGTTGAATTATCTTGAAAAATGCAAAAGTTATAAGGGTTTTATTTTTTCATGGAATTGCCCATATGTACGTTAAATATGGACATTTAAGTGCAAGTGCAATTTGACTTCATTAGAAAAATAAGGAACTTGTTAGTAGGAGTTGTAATACATAACAATAACAATTGAAAATGAAAGACTAAAAAGGTATAAAAGAAGTCCATGGCAATATTCATAGGTAATGGAGCCTTAGAGAAAGCAGCTTTTAATTGTTAGTGTGTTCATTTACGCAACTAGCTCGCGTTACTGGAAATAATAGATAAATAGATAGATAGATAGATAGATAGATAGATAGATAGATAGATAGATAGATAGATAGATAGATAGATAGATAGATAGATAGATAGATAGATAGATAGATAGATAGATAGATAGATAGATAGATAGATAGATAGATAGATAGATAGATAGATAGATAGATAGATAGATAGATAGATAGATAGATAGATAGATAGATAGATAGATAGATAGATAGATAGACCTCCTGGACCCTTGTCGAGTCTGATTTTGATCAGTGTAAAGTTTATACAAACAGGTATGTATATTAACCAAGTTGTTCTCAATATGTATTTTTATTTTGAGAAGTTATTGCCCTCAGACCTCCGATGGTATTCAATTTACTAACATAAACTAAATATTTCCTTATTTTTCATTAAAATTTAATTTAAAAATAAATTAAAAAATGTCGTGTTAGTTTAAATTGATTTAATTATAAACGATTAGGGTGGCAACTGAAATGTTAGATTTTAAACAATTTCACAAAGGTATTAGATACAAGAATATGTATGTATATCAAGCTAAGATTTCTGAATATCTTTCCAAATCAAATTCGTTTCTTATATATAAAGCTACAAGACTTTTATTCGAATAATGTTTATATGTTATTGGCAATTTATTTGCTATAATTTATTATCATCATATATTGATTTGATTTAAAATTTTTACGGCTAAAGCCTACCAGTCTGATTAGTTTGAAGTCTCAACTATAGTATTTTTATTGACCTATAATAAATGTATTAATAATTTAACTTGTTTAAGGGAAAACCTTATATGCGAACTTATTTTTTTAAATTATTTTGATTAAAACTTTAGCGACAAAAACCCCTGATAATTTAACAATATTATTTTCGAAAATTCAAAGTAATTTTCAAAAATAATTTAAAATTGTTAAAAAATACTTAGTCATGACTATTCTTAAAAAACCTAAAATTTGATAAATCTTTTTAAAGCTTTTTAAATATTTTAATGATGGGGATTCATAAACAGATAATTTTATTTGGGACCCATTTCTTACAATTTAAAATTTCGAACTTAAAAAACAATAACAATTTATTTAAGAAATTATTGAAGGGAAAGGGATTTAGTTTTACCAAATAGCATTATGTATAATGAATTTCGCTCTTTAACTATTAAAGTTTGAAAATAATCTTAGAAATTTTAATTCGCAAGAGTATTAAACAAAGTCTAGACAAAATTCCAATTTTAAACACACTGCAAAATATTAGACTTTGTTCAATTTTTAAATACATCTGATGATGACTTTGAATTCATCTGCCGTTCTTAAATCGTGGAAGATTCCACCTTTCATTATCTACTTTAACAAAAATAAACTTTGTAAATTAAAAAAATAAAATATACGTTTTCATCAAAATACTTTTGATTTTTTTGTTTTTTATTGTTTTGTCAATTATACATAATTTTTTTCAGTGAGACACATAAAAATTATTAATTGCTGTGGAAAATATTAAAATAAATTAATTGTGCCATTTTTTGACCTTTATAAAGTAAAAATCTTAAATAAACGATTTGAAGTAAATTATATAAACAAAACCATGGATAATACAAATTCAGTGCTATTACCGCATATTTTAGAAAGTCTCAGTCAAAAACCTGAATTATGTAAGTTGATTTTTTTATAGAACACAGATTTTTATGTAGTTTTTTATAATTTTGTAAAACTTTTTCAGGTGATACCTATGAAAATCTTTGTGAAGAAATTGGTTATGTTTTGTCCTCTCACAACTTGAAACAACAATATGGCAATGTTGAAAATGCCTTGGAAAGTGCTTTAGATGTGGGCCGAAATTTGGGTATAATAACACTAACAGACGATCTAATAAGGGTGCCATTTAATCTAAGTAAAAGTGCTAAGGGTGCAGCAGCAGGAAAAAAGGTAAACATAATATTTGTTTTTAATTTTAGCAAACATGTTTTGTAATTGTGTTCTTTTGTTTTTGTTAAGAAGAGTGCAGTCAAACCTATTTTATCACCCACAGATGAATCGGAAAACTTTATTATGCAACCCAGACGTACACATACTGTACGACCAGCCATGATACCACATGGCCGCCGATCTAGAAGAATTTCACGAAGTCGTCGTCGTAGACGTAGTGGTAGACGTCGTTCTCGTTCTAGACGTCGTTAAGTAAATGTCTTTCTAAAATATCGTAATAAATGTTGTTAAAACAAATTTTTTTTATAATAAAATTGCTAATGTACTTATGTTTTATACATATCTGTTTTTGTTTTTCTCTTTTATTCATTTTGTATTCTACAGGTAAAGAAACGTGGAGGGTTATTGACTAATTAGATACGAAATTTATTTTGCAAACAAATTTTAGCAATTTACCTTACCTATTGCTTTAATTTTGAAGACTTCGTTATCCACCTAAAATTTTATTGGCGGCAAGGGTAAGGGCCGGATAGCGAAATTCGAAAGAGTATGTATAACAAGCGGATTTATGTTATATACACGACATTTGCTACGTCACTCAACGAGCATTATTTCGCTATAGCTAATTATTTTCTTTTTTTAAATTTTGTCACTATACGTTCATTTTCATGGATATGTTTACCTTGAATTGGGTATAAAATTAAAATTTAATTAAAATCCAAATAAAATTAATTTGTTTGTTCGCATAATAAGGTAATTTAGTATTTTCGTTATGTACAGTTTGTTTGCATGTAAATTGGTCAGACATAAAGTCCATCCAAAAGACGCGTGTTTTTAGTTTATTTTTTAAGGAATTTTTATAATAAATAAATAAATGTAACTGGGTATATAGAAAAGTTCTTTTTTTTTAAACAATAAAAAAAAAATTGTTTTCAAAACAAAAAAAGGAAAATCACTAAAAATGGATATTGTCAAGTTCGTATACCAAATGTTTGCATTACATTTTTATTTAGATCAGAATTTACAGTATTGTTTGAATATTGGCTCCATAAAATGTCACACAATGTCTGAGGGAATTGTGCTACCAAATTCAAAACTTATATCTATGATAGAATTAAATCTAAGACCGTATTGGATTGTAAGAAAACTTTAACTGAATACTCCCCCAGATGTAAGCTTCACATCATATGGGTACCAGGCCACTCGGGAGTAGTCGGCAATGAAAGGGAAGGGAGCTCGAGGAAGTTAACCTGACAAGCGCAAAACCATTCGACGCAAAAAAAGCTGAATTAAAAGTATGGGTGAGAGAATTCCATAAGGCCTCTTGGAATAATGAAACGGTGTGTAGAACCACAAAGATCCTATGGGGTGACCCTGATGAGGGCAAGACGCGAAATCTTCTCAAAATGAGTAAGTCTAAAGTTAGTATAATGGTACGTTTTCTGAGTGGGCACTCAGGATTACGAGCACATCTATGAAAAATTGGACGGGTGGATTTAGACTACTCTATAGTCTACTCTACTCTATAGTGAAACTCTATAGTACTTTCTTTGCCGCTGTTAGTCATTAATCGAAGTTAGATCCAAGTATCTTGGAAGTGATGTTATTCCGGAAATAACATTTCTGACTAACACTGATTGGAAAATTCTTAGGAATTACGTTCAGAAAACTGAGTTTCTGAACATTGAAAAATAATCATTTTTTTCATGAAAAGGAGCGCACAACAGGCCCGAAGTGGCCTATGTGCATTTCTTCAGATTTGATGTAGTACTCACCCTCCTATCAACCTAACCTAAATCCTATTAGCAAACACCAGATCTTAGACTTTATGTTTTTGTTTATTCAAAAATTCGTAATTAAATTCAAAAATCTAAACAAATTTTGATTTTTTTTTTAATTTAATTTCAAAATTTGAAATTTTCAAGTATTTTTAAAGAAGTTTCTTAAGATATGTTCGAATATTTCAAAACATTAAAAAACTGTTAAAATCAGTGTTAGAAAAACTACGTTGCTACCAAGTATTATATTATTGCTTTAACTACTGCTCCAAACAATTGTCTGAAGTTGTAGCAGTAGCATTTGTTTTGTTTTATAATCATACGTTTTTAAAACTTTTGCTACTTATAAAAAAGTAAATCTCAAAATATAGCAGTAGTAATAAAACAGTAGCAGTAGAAATAGTTCTAAATAAAACATAAACTACAAATGGAGTAGTAGCTTAAAAATATAAATAATTTTATTGCTACTTTTGATAACCCAATAAACCAAACGATATTATAACGATATCGAAACGATATCACTTAGGTGATAAAAAATATCATAAGTGATAGTCGTTTTCGTATCGAGAACGATAGTATTTACGTACTAAATGGTACCTTTCCTTATGATATCGTTTTTCCATAAAATTATGATATCGTTTTCGCTACCATAATTTCCCAAAATAATGATAGTTAAATCGCCTTTTTCAGTTTTTTTTCTGTATGCTCTTTTATTCTTAAAATTTCATTTAAAACGCTATTTAACTTAATATTTCGCTATTATACATATAAAAAAGCCTGAAAAGGGAAGGATTGCATTCATTTGTACATATTTACATACATACATTAATACATATTTTAAAGTAATCATATTTTTCATCACATTATGCATTATCTTGCAAATACCTGAAACTTTTCAAAATTGCATACATGTCAACTTACCACAAAACTGAAGTATCGAACGAAATTCGCGTATTTATTTGGATTATTTATCAATAATTTAGTTGATTTTATTTTAATATCCTTTTTAGTTTTCTTATGTTCGAAAATTTTTATTGAAATTATTTTTATGTTTGAAGTTTTTTTCAAATGTTTGTATTTTCTTAATTTTTTTATTGGAAACAAAATAATATAAAACGATATTATAATAATATCGTTTTAAATAATGAAATATGATATCATAATCGCCCTTTAAAAGCAATACCGTTTTCGCTATCATATCGTTCTTTGGTTTATTGGGAAGTAGCAATAGAAATATTTGCTACTAGTTGATCGTTCTATTGCTACCAAATTATTGAAGTAGCAATAGAATAAAACAAAAAACTTCGACAAAAAAATAAACTAACAAATACACATATCTCAACGGGAAAAAGATTCAGTATAGGGGCCTTACTAAGGGCATTTTTCTATAGACACAAGTACATACAGCCGCATTGCAAAATCGTTTCAATTTTACATGCTTACTTAAAAAGGTCTTCCGTTAAAGGCTTTTTAGAAGATTTTCAGTCGAAGGATTTGTAAAATAGCCTTATAGGAAATTGCATTAATAATTATACATTAGAACTTATAAGAATTATATAAAGCAAATTTTCATACAAAATTTGATTCATAATTATTTGATAAATGTGCAAGAATCCTTTTAGTAGAGGAAACAAAATCCTCCTTGAATATCTTTTGCGAAAAGGCAATGAGAAACTTTCATAATATATAAATATGTCTTCAGAAGGCCCACGAATCGAAGTCCTAGCATTTTTCCCCGCTACTTGTGCCTTTTTCTGAATGTCATAATTTTTTTTCGTATTTTAATAAAATTTTTATTTTTTTTTATGCTACCAAAATTTATGTAGCATTGCTACCAAAATTTTGGTAGCATTGCTACTTTATTTAGGTAGCAGTTGCTACCAAATTTTTTATTGTTGAAAAATATAATATCGTTTATTGCTACTTCAGGAAAATATTTACTGCTACTATTTGAAGTATTCAACTGCTACATTGAAACATTTAAATACTAATGACTGTACTACTGCTATCAAACTTTTTATTTTTTTGCTACATCTATAAATACTGCTACCAAAATCTAAAGGTATCAGTAGTAATAGTAAATGATTTGCTGCTAGTTTTTGAACATTTTCTAACTACAAAAGTAGTTATTTTTCGTTACTACAGCTACTTGTAGTCTAGTTTTTTAAACACTGGTTAAAATAATCTCAAAATCAAAAGGATTTATAAAACTATAACTTCAGTTTCATATGGACAAAGAATATTTATTACAAGAATATGCATTTCGATATTCTTTGATTTCGATTTTTATGAATTTTAAAGTATTTTCATAGCCCATTCAGACCAAGTCGAAATTAAGTAATTTGGGCTCGAAATTATAAATGAAATCTTACCTGTTCAGACCGATGTTTTTGACACTTGAAACGATTTTGCTTGCAAGTAAAATTGAACTTTTTGAAATTTCATTCAAAACTATTTGAAATTTTTTATGAATTAAAAAAAATATAAAACTGTAAAAATAATCTTTAAATCAAAATCAAAAGGATTTATAAAACTATAATTTCAGATGCGTTTTGATACAATTCGTACTTTAAAACTTAAAAAAAATTAAATTTTTATAAAAATTTTATGAACGTAAGCTTTTTAGTTAAGAAAATTCGTTGTTGTGTTCGAACAAACTTTAAAACTGTTAAAATATTCACTTTAAAAGATATGTTCAAACAAAAATTTGGAGTTTTTTCTAAAGACAGCTTTAGAGTTATTAAAAAAACTTTGAAAATTTGAAAAAAAAAAATCGAAATTTCGAGCTTTTTTATGAAGTTGAAAAATATTCTAATTTTCTAACAAAATTGTTTACTGCTATTAAAATCATCTCTAGACCATAAGGAAATTCATAAAAAACGAAAACTCGAACAAATTATGTTTGAAAAATTTTTCAAAACTTTTTACGTTCAACATTAGGAAAATTTACCAACCACTACAGTTATATTGTTTACAAAATCCCTAATCGAACTTGATAGTTATAATCTCAAATCATGCAATAACCATAATTGATTCTTTGTTTACTTGTGTATATTTATTATTCAGCTGATATCGAATAAATCAATTTGATTTTCAGGGAATCGAATGTTTTTCTTTACAAAAAAGAAAAAAAATTCCAATTCAATATCTCAAACTAAAATTAGCTACCAGAAACCACTTTAAATTTAAATTCAAAACAATTGATGAGGAGATAAACACACACTCGTACATAATATGACCAAAATGTTTATGAATATATTTATGAGTATTTATAAACGTCGATCTATAAAAAATTTTCCTTTCGACGATAATGATTTCTTTTTGTTTATTTGCATGTCAACCAGAAAAAACTAACTTAAGAACTAAATAAAAAATAATACCAATACCTAAGAAAAAAACTAGACAACAACAAAACGCCTGAGCCATTGAACTTTTTGATCTAATCATTAAATATCAGATGGTCGTGTTAGGAGAGAGAAGTCAAACTTAAATATAAAATACATATTCGGAAATCCACAAACGAACATAGTAATAAAGAATTATTTTGGTGACATTTCTCTTAGAGAACACACGTGTAATGAGTGAACAATTCATGCTATTCGATCACTTCTATGCGAAACGACACGACACATACTTATTGTCGATACGATTAAACATGTTCGTATGTATGTGAGAAGTGTGGTACGATGATGAGATGATGAGTTTATAATAATAACAACAACAACAACATGTCCATGCTTATAATAAATTGTTTTTTGTTATTTTAATTTTAGTTTTTTTTTTGCTTTAATTTATTTTTTAGTATAGATTAATAGGTATGATCACGCGACAAGGTAGCAAATAATAATTTTTATTTAAAAAAAAGAAATGATAATAAAAATGTACATAATCGAGCGAGCACACTCTCTCAAGTGGGTACATTTATAAATATGGGTTTGTAGGCATGTTTGTGGAATCATGTAGAAAATAATAATAAAGATTTGATTATTTTAAATTGTTATAAATTAGTTTTCGTATTAGCTGAAATTATCGATAAGTGCATTTCTTTTTTTTTTTTTTTGCATTTTTTGTTGTACTGTTGTTGTCTTTGATTTTCTATTTAAAATGTTGCTATAGCGAATATATTTTAATATTTTTTTTATAATTTTTGCATTCGTGTTATAAAGATTGATAATAAATGTCATTTAATTTTTTTAAATAACACGTTTAAATTATATTTTCAATTCGTCCACTTGATAGATTAACAGATTTTAACCAAAATTATTTAAATCAAGTACTCTTAAGATTTTTCCATATAATCGAATGTTTTTAATTGAAATAAAAAAACTGAAGATCTTTGATCATTGATATTTTAAACAAATGGTTTTTTTTATAAAAGAGTAAAATATAGAAACTTTCCCTTAAAAATAGATTTGTGATCACTGATCACTTATATATTCCCTCAAAAATCATGTTTTTTGTATGAAAACTTAAAATCGACTGTAACTTCGTTAAAACTCGTTGAAACGGAAAAAGATATTTTATTAAAAAAATAGATATTTTATTAAAAATTTAACAACGGCTCCAACTTTGTTAAAAAAACGTTTGAAAAAATAATTTCGTGATCACCAAAGTTTTCTCAAAAAAATCGATATTTTGATCGATAACATTAAATCTGCTGTAATTTCGATAGGTTTTCAGGCTGCATAGATGTCCACTTGGGTCCTATTGCTCGCTTTGTAGTACGTTTAAAGATATTAATAGAATAAAATTGAAAAGTATTAGAATTTCTCCCTTTTCTATATTATGAATTCTTTTCAATTTGATTATCTTCTTAGGAGAAAGATCTTAAAAGTCCACGGATCAGTGCATTCAGGGTGATTTCGAAATTGATCACAATGCCTGAAAATATTGGTCCTACACCAACTTAAAGTATGCCAATCGGCTCAGACTCATGTTCTGAGGCGATTTAGCTATATCCGACAGTCTGCGTGTCCATGTAAAGCTTGTGCGCACGCTACAGATATACTCTTCTTTTGAACCGAGGACAAAGCCTATTGAAAATGGTTAAAATCGTCAACAAAAATCGGCAATACTTAGTTCTATAAAAGTCTAAATAACACTGCCGATTTTCGTTATGATCGGGCTTCATTTGACCCTACCCTCCATACAAACTCCTGTTTAGAAAATGACTTGAAAAAATTCAAAATTCACTAATAACATGGTTAAATTCTGCATAATTTACTAACTTTAATATAGACGTAAATTCCTCTACCAAAATTTATAAGAATAGGCCCATATTTACCCTTACCCCCCCCCCCCCCTAAGGCCTCTAGTAGAAAACTCTTTATTATTGAAAAATAATCCACATTTTTAACATACTCAATGGTGTAGGGTATTATATGGTCGGCCATGCCCGATATCTCTAACAAATAATCGCAATAGTCGTTATGTGGTAAAATAAGTCTTCTTGTATGGTTTCCGAGTATGCAGTAACCGAGTTGGAGGCAACAAAATTTCTTTTTCCAAAATTGGTCATATTTTCCTGGTGACAGTGTAAATTGGTTCGCTGTTCTGTTTTGAGAAAGTTCATAGAACATTTTGCCTATTCGTTGTTTGCACACGCAAAAGTAGTCTATATCGGGATTGGAAGCTTTTACTTTGGTTAATTCATCAGCTATACAGTTTCTCAGAAATCCTGTTATAAGGATTGACATTCTCCTTAGAACTTTGTCAAGAAAAAAGTAACTTTCTTAGAACGTCATTAAATTAAAAATACTCTCAATTTGTAATCAAAAAGTAGTCTATATCGGGAATGGAAGCTTCAACTTTGGTTAATTCATCAGCTATACAGTTGCCCTTCTAATCATCTTCAGTTTAACATTTGCGCTGTTGATGTTATTCTCAGAAATCCTGCTATAAGGATTGACATTCTCCTTAGAACTTTGTCAAGAAAAAAGTAACTTTCTTAGAACGCCATTTAATTAAAAATACTCTCCATTTGTAATCATTTACACCATGATACAACCATTACTATATATTATGATTCAGGGTACACTGTTATGATTTAAACAAAAATGTTTAAAAATCGTTCATTTGGTTGAGAAGTTTTTTAAAAATTATAAATGCAATTGTGATCATTTGTTAAAACAAGTTAAAGTTGAAAATGATCTGTTATCAATCGTATTTTATTTGACTCTTTAATATAAAAAAATGTCATTGATTATGAATTTTGTTAATTGACGTAGTTTTGAAAGCGATGCAGGGTAAATAAACTGTTAATGAATAACAAATAAACAACATTAACACTATTAATAATAAAACGGTTAAATAGAGGTGAATTATTTAAATCAGATTAACAATTTACGTCATATAGTTACGAAATACATATATATGTCATAATTAATTGAACTTAGGGAAACATGCCTCATAAAGATTTTTCTTGTTTGATTAATCCCAGCAAAAAAAGTGTGGAAAAAGATGTAGAATTTTCATCACAACTAGTAACCCGAAGTGCTTCAAATTCGGGTGTAAAACCTATGAATTTTACATTAGCGTGTCATTGGAGGGATGTTGTTCATTTTTGGCAGCTTTGAACTACATCTGATCTTATTTTTAGAAGCAGTAAAAATCCGATATTTGGATGTCAAAAATAAAACACATTCTCTTAATGACACGCTTATGTAAATTTCACTACTCTTTCACCAAATCTTGATGTACTTCATTTGTAAGGAAATATTTGGTTTATAAAAGTGAAAAATATGAAATCGCATTTTAAGATGTGATTAAGATGTGGTTTGTAAAGTATGACATCAATTATTTTTTGCTGGGATATATTGAGAACCAAATCAATTTTTGTTTAAAACATTAGACACATGCTAAATATTTCCATAAACATCACCAACGTTTAGGTGGCAACATGCTAATGTTTTTTAAAATAAATGTGTTGAATAGCACTTACTTTGTGTTCTATTTTATAAGTCATTGCATATTTTTTGTTGCAAAATTAAGAAGTCGCTATGCAAATAAGTCCATAAAAGGTATGTAAGGGATTTTTGTAATTTACAAAATCCCTCATTCAATCTTAAACCGATCATCTCAGATGTAAAAAAACTTGTTCCTTTATCTTACCAAATTTAATTTATTTAATTCGATATTTAATAAACATAACAAATCATAAATTATACAAACATTAAACATTAATCAATATTAACTACAACCTTTCCGCGCAAATGACCTTGGCTAACTTTATCAAATGCTGCCGGCAACTGTTCAAATTCAAAACTACTGTCTATTAAAGGAGAAATCTAAAAGGAAAAGTAACAAGATTTAACAAGATTAAACAAAATTAATTTTAATTATATATTAAAAATTAGTTTTTTACCTTTTCACGCTCGGCCAATTTCTTTAGAAATTCAATACCTTGAGGAGCGGGCGAGAAGAAACCCCATTTTATTAAACCATTTTGTTTGGTTACCGATTTAAAGTTAGTTTCCAATATGCTGCCCACATTTTTCAATAGTCCCAAACCCAAACCGCTGTTATCGATATTTTTCAAAAGGGGTGATGAAAAGGTTACATATTGTTTATAGTTAAAGTTTAGGGATTCTGCACCCTGGGGTCCCTGACCACTGCAATCGAGTACAACATCATAAAGAGCAAAGGAACGCAAATTAGACATTTCCTCGGGATTGTTATAATCTATAACAACATCGCTACCTAGGGACTTGACCAGTTCTTTGGCATTTTCGCTACAGGTGGCTACTACTTGTGTGCCCTGAGCCTTAAGCATTTGTATGGCCAAAGAACCCACACTACCAGAACCGCCTAAAACTAAAATACGTTTTTGGCCACCACCACCATCGGCTGTGAGGGCACCACAAATACCGCCTATATTGGCGGTAACATAGAGACCCGACCAAGCGGTAAGACCAGCATATAGAACTGAGGCTGCTTCTTCATCACTAAGATTTTTAGGGGCTAGAGAAAGCTATAAAGCAAATTAAATTAAGTCAAGTTTAATTTTGTTTTAATCATGGAAATGGAAACTTACACATTGATTGGTTACGGCTACATACTCAGCATGAGCTCCGTTTGTGTTTTGTACGGGCACCACTCCCCAAACTCTTTGCCCTAAGGGTATATCCACATTCATGCCTTTTTGCACTAGAATACCACAGAATTCACGACCCAAAGTCAAGGGAAATTCTATGGAATTACCCTGACAACGCATGGTATTTAAAACAGTGGCTCCATAACCATCTAGAAATACATATTTTATAATATTTTAAATGACATTTTTGAAATTTTGTTATTACTTAACATGGCCACATCTATGGGATTGACTGTAGTTGTAGTTACTCTAACCAGACATTCATTGGCTTGTTTTAGTTGTGGCATTTTTAATTTGTCGGTAAATTGCAACTCTTCCACACCACCATAACTGTGTATTTGCCAGCCATACATTTTCAATTTCCATTTGCTGCTTTCATCTTTTGGAGTTCTTTTAAGGACGCTAGAAGAGGGTATTGGCTTTTGCTGCTGTTCTCCTCCTGTTTGTGAATTTTGGCCATGAGTAATGGTTCTTTGATTTATAATGTAGTTATAACGAACTACAGGTCTTAGTAAAGTCTTCATTTGCATTTTTTATTTATATTTTTAATAGTTTCTTATACAATTTGTTGATTTTTTCAGTTTTTTCCGGTTTATTTTGTGTTGTTTTTATTTTTGTTTTGTTTGGTTCAGCTGTTGAAAAGGGTTGCCAAGATAATTCTTAGTATTAAGGTGACCAAGAGAGTTCAAGTTAGCAAAAGTACCATAAAATGTAAATTTCTAAACGGAATTAGAAATTTAAACAAATCGGTAATAATTTAATTAAAAATCGGCTGTATCTGCACTAATATATTCCTTCTATATTCGTTTTGTGATGGTTTTGTGAAAACTAAAAATCAACAATAACATCTTTAAAATAAGTTTAAATTAAAAAGTAATCTAATAATACGATAAGTCATATTTGTGAATAAAAATCGATCTTTTGATGAATAATTTAAAATCGATGTTTCCCTTACTGTAACGATTCGTCACAAACATAAATATTTTTGAAATTTGAATACATATTTTATATACTAACGTTCGAATTGCTTATGGAATCTGTAGTAAATGTATAATAAAACATATAAATAAGCATTTAAAAGTTAATGATTTATTTCACCCACCATTCATTATAAATTACAATTTTCGCCAGTTGTAATAAATTTTTAATAGTTGTTTTTATTAAATTGGCTATAACACAAACAAGTATTTTTTTTTGTATATTAGTTATTTTCGATTAAAATACACAATATAAATATAGTAGTAGTATATTATATTACAAATGTACTTTCGCATGTTACTGTAATTATTATTATTATTATAAATAACATAAAAGAATGAAGCTGATTTTTTCGTGGTAGAAAAAATTGCTAAATGAAAAAAGAAGGAAATAAACTTAAACAAGAAATAATAAAAATAAAATACAATATCACATTAAGAAATCTTTAAATATGATGATGATGATGCCCAACACCACTTTGTAATGACGTCAAGTTAGAGTCTGAATTAGAAAAACATTGAATTGGAGTAGAATGACAAACTTCTTCTTCGCTATCTGTATAAGAGCCAACAGAACGACAATTTCTAAAGACAAAGAGATTGTATTATTGAAAAATTAAATAGGAAAACAAAGAAACAAAGACTTACCGTTGTTGATTTGTTATAAGTACTGACGATCGATCTTGTATATCGATGGGCTGTGAACTTATACGTGATGCATGTAACAGCTTATCAGCAGTTAATGAAAATACAGGCACATTATGATGATGATGGTGATGCATCAGTGTGGTCGGGGGCATCATATGATTCATGTCGACAGATGAATGTGACTTCGATAGCGAATAATCTTGTTCGCCATTGTTTGATGTAATTTGATGACTGAGCAAATTGTCATTTTGCTCCTGATAATTATGATTATTTAGATGTTGCAGCCGATGGGAACCATCAACCTCATTGGAATTATTAATTTCAGCTATAGTTAAACGTTTTGCAGCTAAAGTTCGTGTACGTGAATGTATTTCACGTTTATTTTGCTCGATTTGCACAAAGGTGGCAAATATATTTAGTAAATTATCAATGGTAGCACGCATATCACAGCGTATACCACAGATATCGAAACACAATTGAGAAATATTTTGATTTAATAAATTTACTGCATATTTGACTGGTTTCGTGGGTATGGAGGATCGACTGTAGAGAGGAAATCTACAAGTACGAACAATAATTTAATTATAATTTTACGATAAGAAAATGCTTTACAACAATACATACTCTCTTGATGTATACGAAGGTATATCTTTGATAACATCCATAATACGAGTACGTGAACCTTCATGTATAATGGGATTTCTGTAAAGGGGGCATGAAGAAACATTACTAATTGGATTGTAAACTTAAGTCTGAAAGAACTTACCTTAAAGGTCTGTTGAGAACAACAGAAATCATTTCAACTAAATGGGCCACATACCCTAAGGATGCACTCAAAGCCATTGGTGTTATATTCTCTGATATATGTACACTTTGAGCATTGAGTGAATCCGAAACATAGCCATCCATTGTAGGAAAGGGTACACCACAGATTGTATAGAGACCAAAACGATTACGAGCTATAGGATAAATGTCCCGTAGCTCTAAACACAAAGAGGACATTACCCGTTCTACATGTTGTGTAACTGAACGCCGACGATGACGACGTTCCAATTGCTGAACTAAAGAATTTTCCAATTCCAACTTATCCTCGTGTAGTTTACGACGTCTTGCTGTTAACCAAGTTTGCAATTGCTGACGCGACGTAGTGGCAGCATTTAATTGCTGCCTTAATTGGGTAATACGTTTTGAAAAGGTTTCCTGAGCACTTAGCAAAAGTCTCTGTTTACTTTTCAGTGACTCCACTTGGAGTTGCAGCTGTTGCGCTCTTAGCAATTGATGAGGATCTATGTGCTGCTGTTCGGCCAGCAGAAGACTTAGCGTCCGGCCCATGGAATGATACTGAGAGGCAGTTGAGGCAGACGATGACGAGGATGAATTTATCGAAGTCGTACGTGGTTTTCTCAATAGTTGTTCTTTGGTTATACATCTTAAACTTAAACGTTTAATGTCGGCCGTCATCTCCACACTTTCGCGCTGTGTTTGCAGACGTTGTCTTTGCAATTGTTGCAATCTTAACAATTTCATTAAATCGTAACTGGTCCTGACCTCCGAACGTACACAGTTCAACTGGACGTAACGAGTCTTGGACATGCGCAGCAAATCCTTTTGCCAGTCAACAGCAACTGGACTAGAGCTACGCGAAACTTGTGGTGAATTTATAGTAAATTCATCCGGTGTGGGTATGCTACACTTTGGCACACTGGCCGAGTAACGTTCATAGTTTAAGGCCAATTGTTGACGTAAACATTCCGTATTGAACAATTCCGGCGAAGCAAAGTACTCATCATTCATTTGAAAAATCAAAGAATTTTCACAACACTTGACTTCGGTATTTTGAGACAGGGGAATTAGACCGGAAAAGTAAATAGCCCAGCTGAAGAGTAAAGCGTCTGAGGGTCGGGGCAACTTTTGGAATTTAACAAATTCCCGCGTTAAGGCACTGGAATAAAAATATATAAATAACCACAATAAGTTTAATAGAAGTTTATCTACCTCATGGGTTCCTTAATTTTCTTTGTTCTTAGCAAAGTAGTTTTCTCTTCCTCTGCTTGTTGCTGCTGTTGTTCTGGCCTCGATTCTAAGGGCTCCTCGTCATTTTTTATGTTATCTACATAGTCAGTCTTCTTAATGCAGGCCCATATTTTAATACAAACACAATTAGCATTGGACTTTAGTATCTCTGGACATTGTATCTCCGCCCATTTCACATGTAAATGCTTTCTTAAGGCCACCTTCTCACTCTGATAGAATGGCTCATTTTCTGGATGATCATGTAGTGTATAATACAACAACGTCTGTGTGGATGCGTTGGAACTGTTGGCTTTTGTCGTCGTTTTGATTTCAATATTAACGCCTTGTATTGCTTGAAGGTTCCTTAATCTCAATTGCTGCGTACTTAAAGGCAGCCATTCACGACATCTGGGTCTTATATTCATGTTGTTGTTGATTTTTAACAAATACTTTTTACAAAATTTAAATGTTTAATAGCTGAATTAAACATAATTTTGCTTAAATATCCTATTTATTTAACACTTTTACTATTTTCTGCTAAATAATACAATTTTTCACAAAATTTTTCATTTATGTTTTTCTTGCTCTCGCTCTCTTTGTGTGTTAAAAAAGAAATGTCAAAAATACTATACTGTAGGGTTCTATAACTCGACTTTAAAACAATCGAAGAATCGACTTTTGGTCGGAAGTATTCGAAAAGTTGGCTCTCTTGTAAGAAGTCGAAGTTTCAATTTTGCAAATAATTATAAATAAATTTTCAATAGCAAATTTCTACCTATACAATTTTTATACAGTCAAACCCGTTTATAACGATTCCGAAGGTAAATAAGCGACGTTCATAATAAGACGGGTAAAGTTTTTGTATTTCCAAAAATAAAGTTTCATTTTAGGAAATTAAAAGTATAAATTTATTTAATTTACAAAAACCATCATTGATTTATTTGTTCATACATATATTTCATAACAAATTTCAGTTTTTTCTAACAAATCTTCGTTTCGTTTGACGACTGACTTTCTGTGTTATATGTATGTGGGTTTTGGTTGTAAAATTCCATTCCTTTAGGAAAATGTCGAAAAAATCTAAGTCGAAAAAAAGCATTGAAAAATGTCGAACAAATTTGGAAAAAGTCGAACAGAATCGAAAATAGTCGAAAAAGTGGAAAAATCTAAAGAAATTGGAAAAAGTCGATTTTTAATAAAATGCGAAAAGTTGAAAAGTCGACTTTTTTTCAACTATAAAACCCTACTCACAGCTGTTCGTTGAGAAAACGTCTGTGTCAAGGCCAATTTACAGAAGGTGGTTGAACTGTAACCAGCAGCATTTTGTTGTTTATCATGTTATCTACAGAGAGTAAATATAAAACATTATTGTTAACATTTAATAGAAAAAATATTTTTCTTAAATAAAATTTGCAAAAAGATACCAATTATGTCATTATATAATTAAAATAATATAAGTTTACAAAATGCTTGGCATTTTCAAATTTCTTACATAAACAATTGAAAATACTAACGAAGTTTTTCACTGTTTTAACGGAAATTTTTAAATATAAAACTGTAAACAATAATAGCCTTGAAGGCAGTACGTATGAGGCGTATTTCGAAAAAAATTACTAGCTGATTGATTAACACCACCATATGTTAATTCGCCTTGAGGTGAACTTAAAAAAATTAACAGCTGATTGAATAACACCACCTTATGTGAATTCACCTTTGTGTGTTTTGTTTTGGAATTGTTTCCTATTGTTTTTCTCATTCTCTTCAAAAAATTATTTTGCTGGTCGATTGTGAAAGAAACGTTTATTTTAGTTTTTGTTTTCATACGCTTTCGAATAGGTTTTTATTGGAATAAATAATCTTTAAAAATGGGTAATCAACAGGCCAAAAAAGGCGAACAACTTCCATTTACAGCTGATGAACTGAAAGTTTTGGAACATTCATTTCGCCATACCTCTGGTGGACATACAGAAAAAATTACTGAAAATAAATTATTGGTAAGTATCAATAAACCAAATAAAAACCGGTACAGGCCACATTCCCGCATACTAAATACGCATTAAAATAATTTAAATGTAACCAGATCACTTTTGAGTATAAACAAATAATTTGAATACTGTAAAAAAACTGCAAGGTCAGTAAATTTGTTTCCTACTACAGTTACCCACTAGAGAGGCTCAAAACAAAATGGGCAATTCTTATTAGATGATTTTGAGTTTCTGTTTTTTCTACCAACAAGTCATAAGACAATAGCTTGTGATGGATAATAATTAAAAAAAGAAAGGCAAAACTAAACTCTACACACTAATGTATCTGATAACTGATAACATGTAAAACGATCATGATGACGAAAGCATTAAAACAATTAAAATACATATAAGAAATCAAAGCAAACACAAAATGAAGCATATTAAAACGATGACTGAGTGACTGACAATGCCAACACGTTTAATGCCAATTGTTTATTTGTTTGTTTGTTTGTTGTATGCAGATAGATCGTCTAAGGAAATTGATAATGAAATAAAAGAAATTCAAAACGTTATACAACTTACAATGATTATTGCTTCCTAAATGAAACGGACAACAACAAATTGATCAAACAAACACTGTACGACAATGACGACGACGAAACCGACGACAATAACAAGTACACAAAAGAAATCAAACAATAATTATTTGTTGGACTAATTGACTATATGTATATTGTCTACCCTATAGTAGGATGGCTAATAAGTGTTTCTATTAATGTTTGTAACGGTCTTTAGATATCCTTAAAGTATACTGAAATTATCATTATTATTTCCTGTAAATTTAAACATTGTAGTTTGGTTCCAGGTGACAAATTTAAAAGTAACATGACTATAGCTTTGAGAATCGTAGCATATTAGCTTCAAACCTCCCCAAAGGACATTCTTCTGAAAAGCTGTATAACGCTCACAAATCTCGTACTATTATTGACATTGTAATACAATAATTTGGTATACCTAAGAATTTTCATAACTTTAATCATTCTTCGAAATTCTGCGAGGATCGGTCCGTTACAAGGCCTAGCACTTTTATTAGAACTTCTAACGAGATATGTAGGCTACCCTCATAGCTGGTGTAGGGTATCATTTAGTCGTAAATAATTTACTGCCTTACTTTTATAAGTATTTAGTACAACAATACACACTAGATTTAACATAAAATGTGTGTGTGGGTTTGTCAGTATATTGCTATGTTTACCGTTATAATCACAACGGCAAACAAACATTTAATTTATCATTCAAAAACGACGGTTATATACTTTAAATATTTATTTATTGTTAATCTAATTTAGTAGATTTTTAAAATCATTTAATTTTTTATACGCTTGATTAAAAATGATTATTGTCGGTAATTTAGACAAATTGAGTTTTGAAAAGAAACTTATTTCATATAAAATATGTTGGAGCTTGTCTGTTTAGATTTGAAATAATTTGGTTAGATTAATCAGGGTTTGAAAGCGAACTATTCAAAATAGGATAGGTGGAGAGAAATCAAATTTGGAGAATTGTCACAGAATTCCATTTCTACTGAAAGCTGCTTTATTTCAGTAAAAAACGACAACTTTTCGGAATGAAATCACTTTATATCGGAATGACATTCTGTTACAGGCCAGATGATTTTCAAATTTAAAGCAGAGAATTATTATAAATTTCGCTCCTATTTTTATTACCATCTTGATCAAATATTTTTTTAATGTTTTTCAATTACATATTTCCAAAATATTCGCATGCATTTTGCATTTAAGGTTTAATTGAAATTGAAAAACTAAACCCACCCTAAAGAATTGTTAAAAATTCCTTTTGTTTTTAGGAAACCTGGTCTACAATTGTCGATAAAAATTTGGCACAATTTATAGCAAATTTTCTATATACCGCCACGCCAACACCACAACAAAAACAACAACAACGACAACCACAACGCGTAGGCACCATAGCTTTTAAAAAATATGCAGAACCCTATTACATAGTGGAAAGAGGTTCTTTAGATGAACAAATCAATTTTATACACTTGTCATTGGCAGGTAAAGCTAATGATGAAATCGATTTAAAGCAATTGGAAATGGTAGGACATCATTTTGTTTTACAAATATCTTTATGTTTAACTGAAAAATTGCTTTCTTTTTTCTAGTATATAACTTCAGTTTTATTAAGTTATTTACATATAATGAGAGCTAAAAATTCTCCGGAATATGAATCTTGGATTAAATTTGGTTATCATTGTAATGATCGCTCGGCTCAATGTTTTGCCAAAGGTTTAATACGTTTGTTGGATAAGGAAACGGATTCAGAGTCTACAGCTTCTCTGTATGCTTTAGAGAAATGGTTACAAATAAATCCCACATTTCTTATAATATGGCGTAATGTTTTTTCTTATCTATACGGTTCGAATAATGGTAAAAATGGCAAATTGGGCACAAATCATATAAGTCAACAAATATTACCCATGCAAGAAGGTAAAGTTAATAATTTTGTTTTTAGTTTTTATTTAATACAAATAATTTCTAATTTCTTTTTATAGGACTACCTAGTGGTACAAACTATTCACCCATATTGGATATACCGCATGTGATTTATATCAATAGCAATATGCCCACAGATTTAAGAAATAAATGGCGTTTTTTGTTTTCTTCGAAAATTATGGGCGAAAGTTTTTCCACCATGTTGGGCAAATTGCTTAAACGTGGTCCTACTCTTTTGGTTGTGGAAGATGAAGATCATTATATCTTTGCTGGTTATGCTCCAGAATCCTGGAGTTTGGGGCCCAATTTTTTGGGTATGTAAAGACTTTTAGAATAAAATTGTTAAATATGTTGGCTTATTAAAGAAATATCTTTTTTTATTTTATTTTTAAGGTGATGATAGCTCTATGTTGTTTACTTTAAGTCCCGCCATGCGTTGTTTTAATACTACGGGATATAATAATCATTATCAATATTTAAATTTAAGTCAACAGACTATGCCCAATGGTTTGGTAAGTAGGAAATAATTAGCCCTTAAAACTAAATATTTAATAATTAAAACATAACTTTCTTTAGGGAATGGGTGGTCAATTTAATTATTGGGGTCTATGGCTGGATTGTGAATATGGTTTGGGTCATAGCTCTGAATCCTGCACCACATATAAAGATTATGTACAGCTGAGTAAACGTAAAGACTTTCGTATTAGGAATCTAGAAGTGTGGGGTATAGGTGATGAACCCAAACAAGGCGAGGACAGTGATGAGGAGGAAGGAGATGTAAGTACCATTACTTTCTTAACAAATGCCAATTTATTCAATTCATTTCATTGTACTTTCCTTTTAGGGTTCCAATAAACGTTCCATATTGGATCAAAATTTGGAAGATCGTGTTATGTTAGAATTATCTGGTCGTAAAATGCACTCCGATGGTCTAAGAGAACCTGATCTGGATTTATAAATTTCAAAATATATGAATTTTAAACAAGTTCTTCTTTAAAATTTGCACAGTATTAACGTAAGTTTCTGATGCAAAGTTTCCTATTAAGTGTTAAATTTTCAGCTTCTTCGTAAATTAGTTTTAACCAAAGACAGACAATA